CAGCAGACAGAACTCTGTGCCATTGGCCGAGCTCAGTCCAAAGCCCCCAGGTCCCTCTCCCCACTCCCCTGCAGTGTGCCACCTCTCCTGGTCAGCCTGGTGGGCCCAGCAGTGGGTGCCTGGAGGGCCCATGGGCACCTAGGGCAGGGAGAGCCGAGGCAGGTAACCATGACATCGGTGAGCAGCACAACAGAAATCAGCCTTCAGCTGCAGAGATACACTCCTCCCCATCTCACTGTCCCCTCACCCTGCCGGAGGCAGCACATGACCCCTTTGCCCCACCTGAGGCAAACACACCCCATCTTTGGAAGCTCACACCCAGGAGACTGCTGCTCCACCCACCTGCCCGCGCCATACCCAGGTTGAGGGTGTCCTGCCTTGGAGAGTTGTGGGACATGGGGTGTGAGAGGCGACAGTCTCTGGCCCTCTGACAGACAAAAGCCTGAGGAGTGCAGCCCGGCAAAGGCAATCCATGCCCAGACCTGGGGGGATGGATTGCAAAACTGCCCTGAAGAGAGAGGTCCGGCTTCATGGCCAGAGCAGGGGAGGCTCAGAGAGAAGAAAGTGCCAACAGGAACCCCAAGGGGAGTTCTTAGGTAGTAACCCGTCAGCTCAGCTTCACCCCGAGCCAGCAGGTGGGTAACGCTGCAGCCCTGGGACTCCGTGCAAAGAGCTTCACTAGAGGTAAACAGAGAGAGTTTTGCTATAGAGGAAAAGGTCACAGTCCGGGGAGTTGCAAACCACCAGTCTGATATTTGGGGGATGACTTCTGATATCTCTCCTAGAGGCAGCTTCTTTCTTCTCAGGGTCCTTGCACCTCACAGTGGGAGCCTCTGCTCCCTTGGGCCTGGGAGGTCCCAGGGGGCACGGTGTGTGTGCAGCAAATGTGTGAGGTGTGGAGGTACTCCATAGGTGCTCACAGCCAGGTGAATCACCGAACCCTCCTGTCCATGCCATCCAGGTTGGATTTCTCACCTCTGTGGAGAGTCGTGTGTGTGTACGTGAGACAGACAGAGGGAAAGGGGTGTGCACGCGTGCAGGGTCTACCTGCAAAAGGCACTCCTACCCCTGCTTCTGGGCTATAGTGCCCTTTGGAGTCTGGCCCTGGTGACCCCAGGAATGCAAGCTATGTAACCTGGCTTCTTCCCCATCTGCTCCCAGCAGCCCCTGGTCAAGATCCGCATGCATCTGATGCTAATGGAAAATCTGCCTTGTGACTTGTGGTGTGGCCTGAGCAAGCAGGCATGTGACAGTGAGGGGGCCAGGCTGGGCCGCCTCCTCATGGGAGGGCTGGGAGAGGGCACCCTCCAGGGCTGTTGTAACCACAAGGTTGGCTTGGGGCTCCAGGGCCAGGCCCCATGGCTCTCACAGTAATTCTGAAACCTACAGCAGGCAGGGCCTTGCTTGTGTCCAGGTTAAAGGGGGTCAGTCCTCAGCTGGCCCTGGCTCAGCTGGGTGGGAACAATTGCAGAATTCCAGGCATTTGGGAATGGAGCAGCTGCAGGGACAGGCTGGGGCCTCAGCCCTCCCTGCCCATCCAGAAGCCCCCTCCCATAACCCAGCCTGTCAGATCAGCTGCTCAGGAAACCCAGTATGAAGAGGTGAAGAGGCGTGCAGTAGGCTGTGGAGAGACAGGAGAGAAGAAGCTGTTTCTGAGCCAGCACTTCAAACGGAAACCCTTCGCAAACCCTCCTGGTCAACCCTTTCTTCTTTGCAGATCTGCCTGCATTTCTTCCTTTCCAGGGGCCTGGATGGGCCTGGAAATGGAAATGCATTCCGTGAATTCATTCACTTAACAAATATTTACTAAGCCCTGTCTACGGGCCAGGCCTGGGCCAGACACTGCGTCCTGCTCCTCCTCCTCGTATGTCCGTGAGCGACACAGACAAACAGTGTCTCCATGGAGCGTGTGTCCTGGCGCAGGAAGACAGAAAAGAAGCACAACAAGAATAAAGAAGCAAACCAGTAGATTAGGAGGCGCCGAGTGCTGTGGAGCAGCAGGGTGGGCGGGTGCAGGGTGCCAGCTCTGCGACTCCCTGGGGGTGAGCCACACGGAGCTTCTTTCATGGGCCTGCTGGCATCTCTATGTCTTTGGAAAAAATGTCTATTCAGGTCCTCTGCCCATTTTTAAAATTGGGATATTAGTAAATTTGGTGTTGAATTGTATGAGTTCTTTATGTATTTTGGGTATTAGTCCCTTTTTGGATGTCATTTGCAAATATCCTCTTCCACACTGTAGGATGTCTTTTCATTTTTTGTTGATGGTTTCTTGGCTGTGCAGAAGCTTTTAATTTGTGCACCTGCTGTGGAAAGTACTATGGAGGTTCCTCAAAAAACCAAAAATAGAAATACCATATGACCCAGTAATTCCACTTCTAGGTATTTATCCGAAGAAAACAAAATATCTGGTTTCAAAAGATACATGCTTCCCTGTGTTTATTTCCATGTTATTTACAATAGCCAAGAATGGAAGCAACTGAAGTGTCTACTGACACACGAATGAATAAAGAGGTGGCACATATATGCAACAGAATATTACTCAGCCATAAAAAGAAAGAAATCTTGCTATTTGCAACAACATGGATGGACCTAAAGAGTATTATGCTAAGTGAAATAAGCCAGGCAAAGACAAATTCAATATGATTTCACTTATATGTGGAATCCACAAACAAAATGAACAAAACAACAGTAGACCCATAGACACTGAGAAGTGACTGGTGGTTACCATGGGGCAGGATTGGGGTGGGTGGGTAATGCAGGTGAAGGGGGTAAAGGGGCACAAATCTCAATCATAGCATGAATTAGTCACAGGGATGGAAGTACAGCATAGAGAATAGTGCCAATGGTTCTGTAACATTTTTCTATATAGTTGGGGTGTGTATTTAATAATGTAAAGAACTGTCAAATCACTGTTGTATACTTGAAACCAATATAATGTTGTATATCAACTATACTTCAATGAAAAAAAAAAATGGAAGAGGAAAAACCAACCTGGAAAAGAGAAAAGCAAGGCAGGCTGGACGGGGCCCTGGGGGGCAGTTGCATGTTGACTCGTGCGTGTGTGGGTCAAGGCAGCCCCAGGGGACATGAGAAGAGAGCGATATGACACACGTGTGTTTCAGGCCTCCCTTGGTTGCCATGCAGAGGATGGATTGTGGCAGTGGTGACAGGGAGACCAGGAGGAGTCTGCTGCATGACGCAGAGGTGACCCGGCTGGGTGGTCAAGCGGCAGACCCGGGTTCTCTGAGGACAGGGCCAGGGGGGCTTCCTGGAAACGAGAGAGAGCTCAGACTTAGTCTGAACTAGGAGGATGGGGGGGTCTGCTGTGGTGGCGGGAGATGGGGAGGGCCGTCACTCAGTCTACCAGCCACCCAGGTCGGGGAAGCAGGTCTGTCAGATGTGTGGGCTGTGGAAGCAGGTTGACCGGTGTGAGTGCTGGGCTGGGGGTTGCCATCCAGGGTCACAGAGGAAAAACCTCTACTGTTGGGAAAAACCTCTACTTCTGAGAAACGTGCCAAAGTCATGCAATCATTTATCTAACACTCCCACTATGCCCCCTGGAGAACTCTTCTCATGTGTAAGGTCAAGATTCAGGTTGTTTTGAATGCTCTGCGGGTGAGAACCCTCAGGGGACAAGTTTGTTACCTGACCCCACCTGCAGGCTGAGCGCAGCCCCTCAAAGCCCCTCTGAGAGCCCCGACTGGACAGGAAGGGTCTGAAAGCGCCTGCTCCTGTGGCTGCGGTTCTGTGACGCAGGAAGAAATGACAAGGTGAGTGGGGTGAGAGCCTCCCTTTCCTGACGCAGTCCAGGAGGGCTGCATCTAGACCTCAGGGCGGCAAAGGGAAGCAGCCGAGTGTCTGGTGCGTTTGTGGGACTGTGTGCACCTGAGTGTGTTGTGTGAGCATGATTGTATGTGATACATGTGCATTACATGTCTTATGTGAGTATTTGTGTGTGTTGCAGGTGTACCTGTGTGTTTGTGTATATTTGTGTGGGTGTGAGTGTGTTTGCACTTGTCTGGTTTAAAAAGTGACCAAGTGAACTCATGCAGAAAGAACCTGGGGTCAGGAAGGGTTCTGCTGTGTACACTCAGAATGTGTGCACCCAGGCCCTTGGAGTGGGGGAGGAGAGTGCATGCTGTGGCAGACGGGGCATGGGTGCTCAGCCTGTGGCCGGCGTGTTCCTGCCTGGGACTCACAGTCCCACATTGCCTGCAGTGGGTGGGGCAGTCACTCGGGCCCAGGCAGAGAGTGCAGAAGGCAGTCCTGAGAGGGGTGGAGGGCAAGAAGAGGAAGTAAACATGGTCTGGGCAGGCAGGCGTCTGGGGCAGGAGGGGTGGGCAGCACCCCCGCCCTAGAGGCCACTTCCTGTGAGTGGCCTGTTGGGAGCCTGGAAAATAAGCAACTCAAACAAGAGTGGGTGGGCTGGGCACTGGAGTCCCCACAGGGCGTGTGACCTGTCTCGGTGGTTCGGGGAGGAACAAGAACAAGGATGCACCAATGGTCAGTGTGAGCAGTGGGTGGGGGCTGGGTTTATGGCTGACAGGACTATTCTGGCCCGCAGTGATTTCCTGTGGTCATGTGGTCCTCTCAGTATGCAAGCTGCCAGACGATGGGGTGGGGAAGACAGAATGATTTATACAAGGTTTTGAAAGGAAAATTGGAGCTTAGGGTGCTGGCCTGAGAGCAGAGAGCAAAGTACCTCGTTTCCAGCACTGGGGACATCATTAACACCACCACCATCACCACTGCTACCAACACCAACACCAACACCAACACCATAACCACTACCACAATCGCTGCCACCACCATAATCGCCGCTGCCGCCACCACCACCACCATCACCACCATCACTACCACCACCATCACCATCACCAACACCAACACCATCACCACCATCACCACCACCATCACCACCACCACCACCAACAACACCACCATCACCACCATCACCACCAACACCATCACCCCCAACACCATCACCGTCACCACCATCACCACCAACACCACCACTACCACATCACCATCATCATCTAGTCACTGCTATTGGGGTAATGACCACATATTTCTGTTTGCCCCACAAATTTCCTCCCTTCCTCTGCTCCGCCCACACTGTGGTCCAGAAAGCTGAGAACAGATAGCCAAGTACCTCGTTTCCAGCACTGGGGACATCATTAACACCACGTGGGTGATTTTCCTCACCTGGCCCCCTCCCCTGCCAGCTTCCTGCTGGGGCTTAGCCAGCTGGAGGCCGCGACAGGACACCACACGGAGGAAAGCATATGGGAGGGCTGCCCGTCTCCAACCTCACCCCACCGCATCCTTGTGGCAGCCTGTGTCTCTCCAGCAGTCCTTCCAGGCCCCAGCCCTGCTCTGGTGACCAGCCACTCTCCTGCCTGGTCCCCTTGGCTCACGGCTGCTGCTCAGAGGCCCTGCGTGCCTCAGCAGCTCTGGCCATTCCCCTCAGACCTGTTGACGCCTCTGAAGATGCTCTCTTTGATCCCCAACCCCAGCAAGTGTCCTGTCCCACTCGGAGAGATGCCTGTCCCACCATGTGCTGGACAGCACACACATCCCAGAGAGTCCCCGCAGTGCCTGTGCCTGGTGCACCAAGCCGAGCTCAGGGACGTGGCCTGCCCCAAGGGGCCCAGGGGCCACAGGAGAGTGAGGGCTCAGCCAGAAGGCCGGGGTCTGGCTCCAGAAGCTGAGCGGTGAGCAGGCACGAGGGAGCCATGGGAATCAGGCTTGGGCATGATGGGGATTCGCCTACGGCTGGAGGGGCCATCGAGGCAGTGTCTGGAACCTGCCCCAGCTGCCCTGGTGTGCCGGGGGGCTCTGCTGGGCAGGGGAGCTCTGGTGGCCGTCCTCAGGGAGAGAGGGCAGACAGACGCTGGCTGTGGGGAACAGCATGCCCTCTGCAGATGGTGCTGGGTGGGGAGTACAAAGCCGCTGCCCTTTCTCCCCCGCTCAAGCCCCTCTCTTGGCAGCCCCGCCCATCCTCCCTTCCCCTGCCATCCCCCCACCGCCACCGCCCTGTCCAGCCAGGTCTGTGTCTCCAGAAGTAGCTCCCTGGTTTCCCCTCTCCTCTGTCCCCACCTCTGGTTCTGTTTCCCTGAGGGCTCTGGCACTGCTGTCAACAGTCATGGCCTTCCCGAGAGCGACCCTTCAGCACAGGGGCCCTGGGCCAGTCCTCAGCCTCCCTGGATGGGAGGCCAGGGCAGGCCCCCAGACTGCCTGGAGGGGGAGATGTGCCATTCCCCCACGCAGGACGTCGTCATGTTTCTGCCCCCAGCTCCTGCCAGTGTCCCCACTCCAGAGCCTCTGAGACACCAGATTCATCAGAGTGGGAACACTGGCCCCCAGAGGAGGCACAGCCCCAGGGAAGGGTGGAAATTGGTCCCACTGGGCAGGTGAACAAAATGGAAGTTTCTGGTGTGGAGCCCACGCAGGTGGGCCTGGTGTGGGGTGGGGCTCTGCTTCCTTCTTTCTGGGCTCCTGGCCTCTTCCTGGGCCTGTGGGTCCTTATTCATTTCCTACCAGAAGTGACCCTTGGAGTGATAGCAGCTCCATTACCCTCATGCCCAGAGGCCCCAGCGGCCAAGTCTCCCCACCTGCCTCCACGCCTTCCTCTTTCTTTCCTTGGTGACAGTAGTGATACTAACAGTGACGCCCTGGCACCTGCTGGCCCGCAGGCCCGTAGGTGCCATTTGGGGGCAGCTCACTCTCCTCGAACGCACTTGCCACCCAGGAAGTGTTGGGCTACTCCCCAGAGACCTGGAGGAAGGCCCAAGTACCCACGACAGAGCCACCATGTCTTGAGAATCTTGTATGTCTTCTTAAAACAATATTCATTCACATATTGTATTCTCATCCACGCCAACCCGTGCTCTATAACTAAAGCTCCCCAGAGGTGGGTGTCTCCAGCCTCCGGCTTGGCTCTCCCGACCCCAGAGCTTTTAGATCTGAACATTGTCTCTCGGATGCTGGTGACATTCAGGCACCGAGTGCCTGGGTGACTAAATGACAGTGCGGCCGGGAGCTGGACTCAGCCTGGTCTTGGCCAGTGCAGGGCAGGGTGGGGGCCTGGACACTGGAACAAAGGCCTATGTACCAGGGCAGGAGGATGCCAGCCTCAGGCCTGCTGGGTCCCGTGGGATCCGCCCATGGGGTCACAAAAGGCAGCCCGCAGCCCCGCCACCCAGTCCTCCTGGGCTGCTGGGCCTGGCACTGTGGACAAGGTGAGCAGGGGGCAGAAGGAGGTTCTGTGCACTTGGCAAGGCCAGATGCACGTGCTTCAGGTCGGCAGAGACTGTGTGGCTGAGTGGCCGGTGGCCGAGTGTGGTGGGCTGTACAGCGCTCCCAAAGCTGTCCACATCCCACTTCTGGAGCCTTGAATGCATGACCTTCTGTGGCAAAGGAAAATCTAGGTTGCCAATCCTCTGTCTCCATAGTGGGAAAATATCAATTCTCTGGGGCCCAAGGTGCACACATGAGCGTCTTCCCTGGGGAAGAGGCTGGAAGGAGGGTCAGTGTCAGGGAAGCCAGGAGCTGGTCAGAGGTGTAGTGCAGAGCCCTGCCTCTGAGTGTCCTTTCAGAGGGGTGAGCAGCCCCATGGCAGACCCTGGGGCACACCTCATGGCATAGGGCCAGACGGCCATCTGGGGGGAGGCCGGTGCCGGGCTCATCCCCCCACCTCTGCCTTCCCCAATCCCTACCCAAGGTGCAAAGGGCAAGTTTGCCCACTGGGCAAAGGCCTGGTTGCCCAGGTGTGAAAGCCATCTTGGGACCAGCCTCCAGGTCTGCTGAGCTGGGCTGGGACTCAAGAGTCCACTGGTGAGGTAACTGAGGCTAATGAGGACAGGAGGTGGTTGTGGGGGCCCTGGCAGGGTGCCCACAGGCTGAGTGAGGCCGGAGGAAGTTCCTGGGTGGAGGGTAGTGCCCGGAGAATCAGCCAAGCCTGTGCGGTCACCACCATCACCACCCTTCCTGGCCACCAGACCTCTCACACAGGCCTGCATGCGGCTCACTGTAGGGGGGATTTTACACGTGTGCATGATCTGGGAGGGCCAGGCTTGGGGCCAATGCCCAGACCTGCCAGGCTGGAGCCCTGGCCCTCGGCAGCTCACCCAACTCATAGGCTTGGGACCTCTTGCTCCTGACATCACCCTGCAAGCTTGGGCTCCTTAAGGAGCTATGATAGGAGACAGGGTCCCAGGTGTGGAGAGAACCAGAAATAGCTGAGATGAGTGTGGCTGGCATGCACCCGCTAAGAACGGGCCGCTGTGAAGAACCAGTGGATCAGGGCACGCGCTTGGGGCCCACAGGGTAGGAAGGGCTGTCCCCTCACCACAGCTGGCAACTCTGGCACCCTAGCCCCACCCAGACAGAGGTCTAGGCCCTGGGATGAATGAGAGACTGCATTACTGGGCCCACCTGCCACCCTCAGAAGGACCCACCTGCCAGAGTCACAGCTCCGGTTCCCCCCTCCTCTCCCAGGCACCCGGAGACCGGGGGTGAACGTGTCCATGCATCCCCTTCCCTGAGCCCAGGGGGTGCCCTGTCTGCTCTGTAGCAGCTCAGGCCAGGGTGGAACACTGCCTAAGGGGCAGGAGGAAGGAGGGGACCCAAGCCAGCCACCTCCGGCCTCTCCTGGGTGGTGGTGTCCCAGTCTGGGCTTCTGCAGCCAACCTGGGCTCTCCTCACCCAGCCAGGCATCCACACTGCTCCCAGGTACAGGCCCCATCCCCACCCGCTGTACTGTGGGGGCTGGAAGCCTAGCGTGTGCCCAGCTATTTGCTTTTTGTGGCCAGACCCCCTTCTCACCTCCTCTCCCCGGTCATCTCCACCCTTCCAGGAGGCCCCCACTGTGAATCACCCCCCCCATTCCTCTCTGGCATCAGACAGAAGCAGCCCTGCCCATTCAGAACCTCAAGAAGCAGGGCACCAACCCCGCTGACAGCCTGAAGCAGGGCCGGGGGACGTGGGGGCTGCCCTGCCCCTGAGCCTGCCCTTGCTCCGGGTCACCGGGTTCCACCCTCACATAGCTGAGCAGCTCAAAGACTCACCCAGTTGGCCCTGCAGGCCCAGGACAGGGTGTGGGGACAGGGCCTCGTCCAGCAGGGCCTTGTGATGTGGGGACAGGGCCTCGTCCAGCAGGGCCTTGTGATGTGTGTCTCTGTCCCAGGCGGCTCCACGGTCAGGTTCCATGCCCAGGTGGCCATCCCTGCCCCCCTGGACAGGAAGCGCCAGGACAGCTTCTGGCCCTTAGTAAGCAGGACCTTCATGAGGCGGATCCCCCAAGTGGGGGGCCAGTGAGGACAGTGGGGCTGGGGTCACAGGGAGAGGAGAGCTTCCTCAGGGTCTGAGGTGCTCAATGGGGCCAGGATGGACCCCACAGCCACATGAGCCCCTGCGAGCAGGGGGAGCAGCAGGCCGCGTTCTCAACCTGGCCCTGCCCAGCAGAGGTGGGCATGGCGGGCTGGCAGCCTCTGGCTTGTGTACTGACCTGCTCTTGGGGACAGTTAGACGAGCTCAATATTAAGATGGGGCTGCTCTGCCTGCTAACTGGGTGTAGTGGGCCGAATGGTGGCCCCTGAAAGAGATGTACCTGGGAAAGTGACGTTCTGTGAGGTAAGGGCTTTGTAGCTATGACCAAGGAAAGGATGGGCAGCAGACCCTCCCGGACCCAGGTAGGCCCTGCATCCACTGACAGAGAAGACAGGCCCACAGGGGGAAGGCAGGATGGACCAGGGAGTTTGCAGGGGTGTGTCCACAGCACCAAGAGCTGCTACAGCCACCACGGCCGGTGACAGCCCAGAACAGATCCCCCCTACAGGCCTCAGGAGCATGCAGCCCTGCCTACACCTTGACTTGGGACTCACCTCCCCTGTGAGGCCACGTGCGGTGGTCCAACCTGCCAATCTGCAGTACTTCGCCACGGTGACCCCAGGGTGCAGGCTCATCCTGGATGCTAAATGTGGGCACATTGGTGACTCAGCCAAGAGCCCATCAACAAGTGGCAGCAGTGGGGCGGGGCGAGGGTGCAGGGCCTGCACGACTGCTCAGCGCACAGGGAGCAGGACACGGCCCCACCTTTTCCAAAACCAAAGCTCGGCCAACTCAAGCCCTGGCCCCAGGGTGTCTGCCGGTAGCAGGGGCTCAGCGGCCACCATGGGTCTCCCCATCCTCCTGTCCTCACAGGGCACAGGCACCAGCTCCCTGGAGCAGCCAGCCCAAGCCGGCCCCCTCTGGGCAGTCCCCTGGCCTGAGGGTGTCAGTACACAGAGCCAGAGAAGGTGATGAGCTGCGAGGTCAGGGGACCCCGGGAACGTTTCCTTCTGGGGTGAGGCCCCTAACTGCTTCCCTGCTGGGACAGACCATCACCAGCAGGGTCAGTGGAGAAGCCTCTGACCAGATTCTTGGGTTTCAGATGAGAGGAAACCCAAGCTCTCTGTGAGCAAGGACCGAATGTGCCTGGGCCGCAGACCGGATGGGTATGAGAAAGATACGCAGGACCGCCAGGCTGTGTGGCCTCTGCTCGGCGCCCAGCTGGTGCTTGCAGTGACAGCAGCACATGGGCTGGTCTCCAAGCAGCTGAGGCGTGGCCGGGGCGACAAGACCTCCACCGCGGGGCTGACAAGGGGCATAAGCCAGCATGTGCCAGGAGCAAGTGGTGACCATGAGGCCAGGGGTCCTCAGGCTGTGGGGGAACATGGCCCCCCAGTCTTGCTCTCAGATGAGGAGATACCCTGAGCCGGTAAACCAAGACGCCTGAAACACACCCGGAGGGGCTGAGGGTGTGTGCAGATAGGAGCGGAGGTAAGTGGGCTTCAGGCTGTTGGGGGCACCCTGGAGGCTGGGGGAACTGGGGAACAGGACACCCGACTGTGTCGGCTCAGAGAGGGTGAGGAGAGATGGGGGGCCTCTTCAGAGGCCTTTGCAAGGGTTAGTCTCTGAAGTGACTCCCACATGCTCCCAAGGGGTTGGTACTGAAGGGAGCATTGGAAGGTCGCATGTGGGAGGTGCACAAGGCATGGGGCATGCAGCTTAACTCCACCGCTCTGCTCACCCAGGAAAATGCTCAGTCACCCGTGCCCCTGCCCCTGGCCCACCCAGAGCACCAGGGGAAGACCAGGGAGCAAGTGGCTTCCCATGAACTTCCAGCAGCTTCTAGCTTCTCCTAGAGGGCTCTCTGAGGACCCTCACAGCTCAGGGAAATTGCAGGTTTGCCATAGGGCCAGGGCCCCTGCCAAGTCCCTCAGTCAGCTGGCGTCCTGCAGCAGCCAGCCTCAGTGCCCACCGGGTGGCAGGCCGCTACGCATGGGAGTGCTGGGAGGCCGCTCCCCCCTCCAGGGCCTACTCTAGATGCTTGCATCATGGAAACTGCTTTTAGAAACTCCATTGCCTGAGCTGCCCAGCTCGTGGGAGACAGGGATGTGGGCTCAGCAGCCACACGCGACAAACATGCAGCCTGCCTCTCCCTGTGGAGCCTGTGTCCCAGCGCTGTGACGTCGCTCTGACGTCACCGTGACTCCACGTGGCTGCAAAGCCCCCAGTGTGAAGGCCCCTCCCAGCCAGCACAGTACTGACGCAAATGAAAAGCTTTCAACTCTCTGAGCAGCTGCCATCCGCTCCAGCGGCAGCCCTGTGGCCACAGCAGGGAGGGCAGGCAGCCTCGGGCTCCAGCATGGGACCTGGCATTTCAGATAATCAGCTGCTCTTTAAAGGGCGGCCAGTGTGGTGTGCGGGGCTCCTTGGAGGTCAAGGAGAGCCAGCTACTGTCGCAGCTCCTGATGAGGTCGGCTGCCCTCGGAGCCTCAGGCTCTGCCTGCCAGGCCACCCCACCCTGTCTCCCCACCCAGCAGGTGCTTGGGGTCCTTCGGCTTTGGTTGTGGCTCTTTGCCCAGAGTGGCATTAGAAGCAGGGGAGGAGGTCAGGCCAGGTGGACCTGCCCAGGGTCGGCTGGGGGCCGGGAACACAGCAGCCTCCACGTGGCGTGAGCAGAGTCGGGTCCTGTTTCCTCTGGGTCTCCTTACAGCCTGGACTGCAGCTGCCGGGAACCGCCACTGCGCAGCCTCCCTTGGCCTCTGGGGGGCTGGCGGAGTCTCACCTTTCAGCAGATCCTCGCTAGAGCAGCTCACAGACACGTGACACACATCCGGGACTCCTGGGAAGAATGTGGGGTGCCAGGCGTGGTGACCACGAGACCAGGGTGCTTGTCCAGACATCTCTGGGTGAAGGCCATCACGGGAACGGGACTGCCCTGGAAAGGCGGGCCCGACCCTGCAGGCACATGCTGCCGGCCTGCCAGAGTGCTGTGCGCCTACTTAAACATATGCATACATGAACGTGCACACACACGCTCACACACACCTGTACACATGCGTGTGCTCACACATACAAATGAGCGAACACACACAGTGCTTGTGCATGCACATGTACACTTGTGAGCAGCACAGGCACAGACTCTTGCGCACTCGTGGAAATACCCACACACACAGATGCACACGTGGGGGGCTTCTGCAGTCTCCCAGTGCCAGATCGGCACTCGCTGTAACCCTCAGGCCACCCTGCGGGATTGTGGCCACTTCCTGAGTGACACATGGCCTCTCCTCTCCTGCTGTCCGCCCTCTACACTGTGCTGTCAGGACCGCAGCCTTCTGCCCTGGGCTCAGTGGACCCGGCACAGGCTGTCCGCGGGCTGAGAACGGCTGCCGGGGGGGATGAGAGTGAGGCAAATGCTCAGGGCCAGGTGGCAGATCCAGGGACAGGGCAGAAGCTGAGGTCCCACCTCAAGGGCACCCTGGGCCAGCCACCTGGGTGTGGCAACTGTGGGCCCTGTGGTGTGCACAGAGAGGACCATCTGTGCAGCCTGAGCTCCCCCTGGGGCCTCCCTGGGTGGGTGGGAGGCCCAGCAGCCCCTCCCATCCCAGCCACTGCTGACACCCCCTGAGGAAGGTCCACTGGGGGGGCCTGTGTGGTTCTGCCTCAGGACCCGAAGTGTCTGGCACCCAGAGATGCCTGCTGGGAGGCTGGCCTCCCCTCTTCTCACCTGGGGGCTCTGTCCTGGCCTCTACCCAAGGTGGAGACCACGCTGCTGCGCTGTGGGGACACTCAGGAGGGGCCCTGGAACCCGTGGCCTATGCCTCTAGGTTGGGGCCATGGGGCTCTGGGTCACCCACAAGGTCAAGGGCTGGTGAACACGGCCTCTGAAAGCCACTGCTGGTGGTCTGTCGGCGTGCTGCTTCCTCACCCGCTGCAGGCCTGCTGTGCTGCGCTGGACCTTTGCACTGGTCGCCTCTGCTCCACGTGGATCGTTGGGGGCCAGTGTGGGGCTGGCAGGGCTGCAGCTGGCAGGAGCTGTTCTCCGCGGGCAGGGTGGCCCTCCCTCGGCCTCCCTTCCGTTTCCCTCTTTCTGGTCCAGGGCAGAAGCTGGCCTTTGTTTTGTTTTGTTTTAATAACCTAAACAATTGGCACAGGCTGCATCAGCCACTGGGCAGGCAGCCGATGGTCATGCTCTCCACGTGGCTGGGCTGGCAGCTTCACGTGCAAGTGGGGATGGGGTGGGGGTGGGAGCCAGCAGTGGGCCCCCAGACACTGCAAAGGCATCCAGAGGAGGAAGTGCGCGCTCCTGCCCCACCCAGCTTGTGTTCCAGACAAGAAAGGCCCCGGAAGGCCACCTGTTCCCCCCACACACGCAGACAAACAGAGGCCTGGCCGCCCAGCATGGCCCACAGAGGGGAGCCGCTGTTCCTTCTGGCCTCATAAGGCCCAAGGCAGCCAAAGCTTCTGCTTAGCTGCCCAGGGGCAGTGCCCAAAGGCAGTATTCCCACATACTCCAACCTGCCCTTTAGTTATAAGATGTAAATATTTGCTCTACCATTTAAGAAAATAATCAGAAGTTACCCTTTAAATGGAGTGTACACACTGGTGCCCTTCAAATGCAAATGCTGCTCTTTCTAAACATGGAAGGAAAAAGCCTGGCCAAGTGGCTCCCAGGAGTGTAAGCCAAACCTTCCTGGTCTGCCTCCTCCTGCCAGAATGCTCTGGAAGCTCAGGGTACCTGTGGAGGGAGAACAGCAGGATTTCCTGGCTTGAGACCGGCTCTCAGCCATAGACATCTTAGCAGAGCCCATGGAGAGGGAGAAGGAGAGGGGCTAAGGGGCCCTGCGTCGGCATGGAAGGCCTGTATTTGAGTCTCAGGTAGCCTCGTTCTGGTCTGACCTCGGGCAGCAGCTGGCTGGCCCTCTGCAGCCATCGGCTGGAAAGCCAGGGGACCCTAGGCCCCTTGCATGCAGCTACCTGCTCGATGAGTGCTGGTCTGGGCCGTGGTGTGTGGCGGCCCTGGTGCTCTTCGCAGCACTGAGACCAGGGCTCACATTGGCTGCGGGGAGTATTCACCCCATGGGAGGGAATCCGTGAAGGCTGCAGAGCTGGGCGGCGTGTCTGGAAGGCAGGACTCTGGACTCTGAAGCCCATGGGCCTTGGACACTGAGGCCCCTTTCAACCCTGCATTAAAGACTCGGAGTGTGCATGATGGGCCAGCACACAGTAGGCCTTTCTGAGGGGTCTGCATCAATGCGCCTGAGAACAAATGAGCACCTCTGCCAGGCCTCTGCCCTGGAGAGCTGGCATCCACCGAGGCCATGGTTGCCAGCAGCCCCATCTTTCCAGCGATCTGTCCAGGACAGCGCCCCAGAGAGCACGGGCGGCCTTGCTTCCTGACTGCCAGCCTTTAGATCCTGTTGAAGAGGCCTGGAGCCTCTCCTCACTTCTGGGGGCGGGGGCCGCCGGTGCTGGAGCCCACCCCCCTCCCCTCAAGGGCCCCTGTGCTCTGTGGGACCAGGCCGCTTTCTGTTGGCAGGGAGCAGGGTTTGGGACAGACACATGGCCCCCAAGTCCCAGCTTCCTGATTCTGGGAGAATCCCGGGAATTCCCTGAGCTAATACAGGGGAGGCCGCGGCCTGGCGGAAGTCCAGGGGAGTGCCCCTCGTACTCTGACTAGCCCATCTGCCAGCCCCCTGGCTGTGACCCGAGGCCCCCTGAGGCTGGGTCGGGGAGGTGCAGAGATGAGCCCACAGACTACCTGAGTGGGGCAGGGGCCACGTGGCCAACCCCGTGGCCCCACAGGAACGGAGAGGCGGCCTATTGGCACTGGCACACCAAGTGAGGAAACGTCTCAGTGTGATGGCACGGCCTGGGTGTGGGCACCCACCCTCCCGTTTTCCTCCTGCAGGTCCAGCACCTGCAGGCCCTCAGGCGGGGCTCTCCCCTCGCCCTGCCGCTCCACCCTGAGCCCGCGAGCCTGTCCTACCCTCACTCCTCCTGGGTGTCCTGCCTCAGGGGACCCCTCTCAAGGGTCTGCTGACATCCCGCCACCCCAATCACCCCAATCGCCCCAGAGGACTCCTCTCCACTTGTCCCAAAGACAGGGCCGCTTCCCCCAGGTCTCCCTCTGCATCCCACATTCTGGAAGGTTCTTAAGGGCAGACGATGCCTGACGGAAGGCAAGTGTGCTGCCTCCTCTGCCCATGTAGGTTTCCGGCAGGCGAGGTGACCCCCTCTGCCTTTTGATGGGCAGTCACCCACTCCTACTTTGAAGCCAAGTGGGGCCAGGAGACGGTGGAGGCAGAAGCCCAGAGAGTGTTCCAGGCAGGCCTGCCGGGGACAGGGAGTGAGCAGGCCCTGCCCCAGAAGGCCCCTAGGAGGCTGTCCAAAGGGCACGCCAGGCATGAATCCAAACTCCCCGGGCGGGTGCTTCTGAAGGTGGGCTGTGCATGGCCGTGCGTCTGCCTCCACCCAGGCTTGTTCTGTGAGCATGTCCCTCGCCCATGGCTGACGGCGTCCCCACCGGGAACAACGCCCTGCTTGGCCCATCATTGACCCTCTGATGTCTGCATTCTGCAGTTTGGGCCAAGATAGAAACCAAGAGAATTTCCTGACGTGGGACCTCCTGGCTTCCAGACCATGTTGAGTGGGTCGGAAAGCTGCCCCGCGTGTCACCATGCCCCTCGGGGAGTGGCAAGAACATTGTCCCCTGTGTTTTAGATGGAGAATGGAGTACCCGGAACTCTCTGGAAACTTATGACTGACAAACAAGAGTAGCAAGACAAGGGCCTCTGGCAGCCTGAGACTGGGTGTTCCCCAGGCACACCTCTCTGGCGGCACCTCATAGGTACTGTATTTTCCACAAGAAGATGTGCAGCAGCCCTGCCTGGAGCTAGTCTCTAGGAGCCATTTTTCCAATAGCATTTGCTTACTTGGCTTCTCTGCCACATTTTGATAATTCTTGCAAAATTTAAAATATATGCATTGTGGTGTTTGTCATGGTGATCTGTGATCAGTGATTACAACTCACTGCAAGTTCAGATGATGATAGCATTTTTTACCAATAAAGTGGCTTTTAATGAAGGCACGCATGCTGTTTTTCTAGACATGATGCTATTTGCACATTCAACACACTGCGGTGTCGTGTACATGTAACATTTACGTGCACTAGGAAACCAAAACATTCATTTGACTCACTTCATTGTGGTACTTGCTTTATTGCGGTGGTCTGGAACTGACCCACAGCATCTCCAAGGTCAGCCTGTAGGGGTACTGGGGGCTGCACCCCGATGCTCCCACTGCCTCTGTGCGGCTTTACCCACCCCCCTTCACCATGTCCACCAAAGGGCCTGCAGCCCCCAGCTCAGGGACCACAGGCCTTCCCCTCACTCCAGGGCCCAACTGGAGGGCAGGGACAGCCCTACAGCAACTGAAAACGTGACCCCAGAAGCCCTCTCCCTGTTGTCCCCACGGCACAACTGACTCACCAAAGAGAGAGACTTCCCATCCACACCCTCGCAGCACACGGCCCCGTTCCCAGCAGCCAGTGCTCTCAGGGGAGTGGGGCCCTACTTCTCTCTGCGAAGAACACAGGAAGGGTTCAGCTCTGTCTGGGCTCCTTTCTCCCATGAACAGGGTGGAGCTGACGTCTCTCTGGTTGGGCTGACTTAGAGTGGGGAGACAGTGATGGGAAACATGATCAGCTGATCCCTTCCCAGAGCCCACAAGGCTGGACACCTGCCGGGCTGGTGACCCACCGTGGCCACAGGCAGGAGGGGACCTCTGGGCCAGAGAAGCCCAGGATCCAGAAGGAAGAGGTCCCAAGATCAGCCATGGGACCATTGTTGGGGAGTGTCTCCCTTTTCAAAGTCATGTATGTCAGGAAAAATGTAGAACGTCCAAACCATGACATGGATTTTGTTGCCCGCAGCCCACCCCAGATCGGGGCAGCATCGCCTCCCCCTGGCTGCGTGAGGAATACCAAACGCGTCGTGATCTGGCTGACTTGCTGTGGAAATGTGGGAAGTGCTGATCTAGCCTAGGGCTCCACAACTGCTTGTGGAAAGGGCCAGAGAGTAAATATTTTAGGCTCTGCAGCCACCTGGTCTCTGTCGCGTCTGCTTGGATCTGCCATTGTATTGCAAAAGCCACCATAGGTGTCACACAAACTGGCGGGTGTGGCCATGTAACAATAAAACTTTATTTATGGACCCTGGAATTTTAATTTGTGTAGTTTGCACATGTCATCCTTTATCTCCAGCCATTTAGAAATGTTGAAGCCACACAAACAGGTCAGACTTGGGCCGTGGGCAGTAGTTGGTGGACCTGATGCCCTCTAAGGTCCTCATCCATACATGTGGGGACAGACCCAGAGGCGGGAAGAGGACTTCTGAATTGCTTGTGGCATGTGGTAGCAGACTGGTCTGAGCCCTCCGGCCCTCGGCCCACACCTTGCCTCCAATGCCCACTGACACGGAGCCCTGGGATGGCCTTGCCTCCTGCAGGTGGTGGGCCTGGCAGGGCATCCCCACCATGCCCGAGGCCCTCCTCCTGGGGCAGCTGTGGCTCAGGGCCCTGGTGTGCCCTCCAGCTCTCCATGAATTGACCCAACAGGGGTCTGGCCATCTTTTGGCAAGCAGCAGTTGGCAGAGAAATGAGTAGATCAGTGTCTCAGATTAGTGTCCCTTCTCTAAGGTGATGCTTTGCTTTGCTCCTGGAGGGAATCAGGGACGAAGACCGGAGAGGAGATGCCGGGCACCTCTGGGTGGGGAGGGCCAGCTGCCTGGGTGTGGTCCTGCAGCGTCAGCTGGTGGCTCGTGACCAGAGCCTGCAAGACACCCTGAGATGAGGGGCTGGTCAGGGGGTTCTCATGAGGGGCTGGCCGGGTGGGCAGGGCTGTGTGTGTCATGGTGCTGGGACCTGGTGGCCTTGATGAGGGCAGATGCAGCCAGCAAACCGAGGGGTAAGGGCATGACCTGTCTCACCCTCCCTGCGGAAACCATGGCCTCAGGGTCAGTCCCCGGGTGCTGTGCACGGCTGAGAAGCCAGTCCCATCTCTGACTTCTGGGGAGGTGCTCTAGGCCCCAGGAAAAGCTGGACACATAATGCTGGGGAAGTGAGCGGGGTGGCCCTGCTCACACACTTTCTACAAAGCACACACCCTGGGCTGGTGCACAGGACATGGGCTGTTACAGGACGTGGGTCGAATGTAGACTGCTGGCCCTTTCTTCCCACATCCCTGCTCAATGGGGGAATATTCCCCAAAGCGCTTGGCCATCAGCCCAAGAGAAGATAAGCTGGTGTGGGGTGGCCCGACAGCCTGCTCTGGGTGGCCCCAAAGGCCTCCAAGCCTCGGGGTCAGTTAGATGCTTGACTTTTTCAATTCTGCATTAAATTGGTGAGCATCATAGACTTTATGTGTGTGTAGACCCTCATATAGGCAATGAATCAACTTGGTCAGTAAAAGTGTACTTTGCCATGATGTCTAAATAAGGTCCCATATAGAGTGACTATGGTTTAAAACTGATACAATGTGAAGGAGGGTGTGGGTCCTCTGGGACCTTAGCTGACCTCTTGAAGGCCGCAGCTGAACTGAGGTGTGTTCTGGAAATGGGATATTCTCCAGCCCCAAGCTCCCTTCTGCCCTTCACCCTGCCCTTCCTGTCACACACACTCACGTACTCCCTTCTCTAGCACCAACAGTGGCAGGCCCTTCTTGCCCCCCATTACAGGTGGTCACAGAGGTAAGCTCTCTGACACCTCCAGCATGGGTGCCAACCCCAGAGGTGACCAGCTGTGGGTCTCATTGAACATTGAACCAGGTTTGTCAGCAACTTTTGGGGTCACAGGACAGACACCCATGCAGGCCAGGTTTGGGGTGGGGGCCATGGAGATGTAGGTGCCTGGGTAGCTTGGGTCCCTGAGGGGAGAATTGGGCTACTGGGAGTAGGTGACTCACCATTCCTGTTTGTCCAGGTTGGAGAGACACAGGACATTTAATGCTGAAAGCAGGGAAGGCCCAGGCTAACCAGGACTGCTAAGGCAAACGTGGAACCCTGGGAAAGTGGTGGAAGGCAGCTGACCAGGGGGTCCTCCTGCCCAAGGCTCAAGAAAGGGATGCGGGGGCACCCGACCCCTGTGAGCACGGAGCCTGCTGACCTGGTGTCACTCTGCCGGTGGCGACTTAACACACAGACTGGCTGATAATCAGTCACCAGCCCCGTCCAGGCATGTGCACCTCTCCATCTCCACTGCACCCTTCTTACACTGCTTTTCTGGGGGCTGAGACACCAACAAACGGAACCAGGTTGCCTGATGGACTGACCGCGGCATTGGGCAGGGCCCTGCGAAGTCTGGGGGACAGGGGGAGCCCCGGGCCAGCGCTCAGACTCCCAGCAAGGCTGATCATGTGGGCAGCTGGGTACACGGCTTAAACCCTTTAATCCTGACTATGAAAACAGTGCATATTCATGCAAGGAATTCAAAAGTTAAGAAAATTAGAAGAAACAGAATGG